GATGATTCAATTGAATCATCAGTTAAATCCACCTCACTAAAACCATGGCCCTCTCAACCCGCACCCTCTTCACCCTCTCCATCCTCCTCCGCATAGTTCTCTTTTTCTACGGTCTCTACCAAGACGCGCACTCCCCCCTGAAATACACAGATATAGACTACCAAGTCTTCACCTCCGCATCTCTGTATACCTCTCGCTCGCTCTCTCCCTACACACGGGAAACCTACCGGTACACACCTCTCCTCGCCTGGCTCTTACTCCCCACCACATTTTCTCCCCAGTATCTCTGGTTCCACTTTGGCAAGATCTTGTTCGCCGTGTGTGATATACTAGCCGGACACCTGCTCCATGTGATACTCGTTGGTCGGGGAATGGATGTTGGACGCGCGGGGAAATACGCGGCGATTTGGTTGTTGAATCCGATGGTCGCGACGATTAGTACGCGGGGGAGTAGCGAGGGGATTCTGGGAGTGCTAGTCATAGGGTTATTGTGGGCGGTTTTGAAAAGAAGGATTGTGTTGGCCGGGATGTTATTGGGATTAGGAGTGCATTTCAAGATTTACCCGGTGGTGTATGGGATCAGTATTCTTTGGTTTTTAGATCGGGAGACGGTTCCTGGTTCTGGAAGCAGGAAGGTCGGAGGGAAAGGAATGAAGAGGGGAAAAGTAGAGAGGGAGAGTGGAAATGATGATATCTGGGGGAAGGTTATGGGGTTCATGAATCGGGAGAGGATTATGTTAGTGACGGCTAGTCTGGTGACATTTATGGGACTTAATATCCTGATGTATTACATGTAAGCCGCTCTTCCCCACACTATTCCAACCTCCCAAGCTCTCACTAATAGACACCCTCAGCTATGGATACCCCTTCCTCCAACACACCTATCTCCACCATCTAACCCGCATCGACCACCGACACAATTTCTCACCCTACAACACCCTCCTCTATTTGCGCTCCGCCTTCCCCTCCCCCTCCCCCCTCCCCTTAGAATCCCTAACTTTCATCCCTCAACTTCTCCTCTCCACTGTCCTCCTTCCCCTCGCCCTCTCCAAACACGACCTGCCCACCACCATGCTAGCGCAAACCCTCACCTTTGTGACCTTCAACAAAGTAGTCACATCCCAGTATTTCCTCTGGTACACCTGTTTACTCCCTCTCTACCTCTCTACCCCCTCTTGTAGCCTCATCAAGTCACCACGCAAGGGGGTATTTGCTCTATTTTTGTGGGTTGCCACACAAGCATTTTGGTTACATCAAGCATTCGAGCTTGAATTTTTGGGTTTGAGCACTTTTGTGCCCGGCCTATTTGTGGCAAGCCTCTTATTTTTCGCCACGAATGTCTGGATTTTGGGTGTTATTGTGAAGGATGTTGGTCGGGGAGCGGCTGCTGTTTCTGGAAAAGGGATTTGAGGTTTGGGTCTAGAGAAGAGGGTCACAAGGCAGGTTGGGGAATAAGGGGAAGGCTGTTCACTAGGATGATGAGTATGAATATGTGCGTCGGATGAAGATGTATATAGAGAGTAGACATATTCCACACATCGGCCTGTACACACATTCTCACACATCCATATTAGCAACCAATTAGCAATGATTCTCATGATTTTTACATATGATCTGCTGGGAGTTCTCTATGGATTTAGATAGGAACGTCTCTCTTGCTGTAATTTGGAAATGTGAACTGAAACCGCCGACTACACATGAAATACCCTTCCTTTGCTTCCAGAACTCGAGTCGAGAACGCCTGCCAATGCCAGATGAAAAAAGTCCTAGCTCCAGTTCCATTCCCAGCCCATTGCCAAAGCCATGTCCTCAACCAAGTCCTCTGCTCAAAAATTGTTTTACAATACCCTTCCCTTATACTCCGATGGAAAATATGCTAGCAGTGAGACGATATCCTTCTTCAGCTAAGATTGCCCACCATATGTGCAATGCGAATTTGTGACATGATGCGATCTCATTCGTTTATGTAATTGTGATACCACCCGAAAGTGCAAGATAATTTGAAACTTTTATAGAGAGTGGTCGAAATTTTGAGAATGTAGTAGGCGTGATGTATTGTCCATCCTTGTTGATAGCCAGTTCCCCAAGGGTTTCTGCTTTCTCTGCGAATGATGCACTTGGTCGACTGCTCGCCAATGCATCGACGATTGCGGGGCTCCATATTCCCGTGCATTGGTTATTTTTTAGTTCAAAATATGGGTTGAGCGGTGGAATTTGTGACTCTGTAGCACTGTTAATATCATCCAGGCAATGGGAAAGTTGCTCAAACTCACCAAGATCTATGAATCTTATTCTCAGGTACTCAAGGGCCGCCAGCTTATTCAATGACCGTACACTCGACAATACCAATGCTTCGAAGGCCGAGATAAAGGACATGTCACTTATACCAGATCCGTCAGTCCATTGCTGATTGGGGCGGCAGCAATTCTTGACGATAAAGTCTATACTCTTCAATCTCGAGGTACGTTGATTTGAAATTTTGGCCGCTGTGTCGAAGAATCCACGACAAATCCTACCGGTATATGCCAAGTGCTCGAGAGTTGGAATTGATTTGGCCAGTTCATCGCAGAAATGCGTCTTCTGGGTAACCTTCCTGAAGAAAGCAGGTGATACAGTTTCTCTGCGATAGTCGTTTTCAAGACATAGGTTGAGATGTGTAATGTTCTGTGGTATCCGGGGAGCAATCTGCGCGATGCAAAGGTATGACTTCGACTTCGGTTTGGCATAAGATCCGTGCCATTCATTGAGGTTTGGTAATGCTGTCGCGATATTCTGGAAATCTTCGTTCGTACGTATAATATTCCATTGTCCCTTGCAGACCAGAGTTCGGATAGTACGGATCTTCGGCAACTTTGTTTCATTCGGACGGAATTGCTGAACTTGAGGGGGCTTCTTTCTTTCTCCGCCTTCCAGAGTCAGGATAACAACTTCAGGGAAAGTATTTCGAACGAACTGGAATATTTCTGATAGAGTGGAGTTGTTATCTGGGGTTTGGTATGTAACAGGATTCGTAGGTTCTGCGCCGAGATGTGCAAGTGAGCGAATTAGGGTAGAACGGTCTGGATTCGTTGTGGGTATCCGCATAACTCGATCGAAAGGCAACTTCTTCTGTTGAAACACCGGAAACCATATTTCGATGTGCTTTACATAACGACACAAATGTGAATGAGCATAAAACCAATCTAATGACTGCTGAACGGAATCCATGGTTCCCTTGATCTTGAGATGTCTATATAATCGTTCTTGGATAAGACTTCTCCATTGAGTAGAGACCAGAGCCAACTCCGAGACTTCACGACGTCTCGAGTGTCTTAACGCTGTACCCCAGCCCCGAAGCACCTTGGACTTCCCCGGTATAATTCTCGCAGAAGCCGCAGCCCTGAAGCCGAACAAGTGATCGAGAATGCATTCGTGAATTTCAACCGGAAGGTCGCACAAGGGCGAACCCGAATCTGGAGCTTGTTGTTGAATGGGTGAAGGTTCTCTCCATTCAAGAAGTTCCGGCTCGATCTGTCGCTCCAAAATCTCTCCATCTAAAGACTCCTGTCGCGGAAACGGTGTCGATGCCGGCCTTTCGATGTTTAGAATGTCATCGACTTTGGTGTGCTCTATCAGAGGTGCTCGCGTGACTGTTGGCGTAGACGGACCCGGAGTGGCTGGGGTTGAAGCAGTCGTCATGATGGGAAACAAATGCTGGCTGAGGTCACTCTCTCGTGGTGGATGATTTGAATACATATTAATGTATTTCTTGCTGCCGCATCCACTCTTCTACGCGCGATAACCGGGATTAATCATGAACAAAATAAAGGTGAAGTCGAAATGGTGGATGGAAGTTAAATTAAAGACGTATCGGTCTGTGATCAAGGCGAGAGTAAGTTGTAGCAAGGCGACGCAGACCAGATGATTTAATGTGGTGGTATTTGGAACAGCTGTAAAATTCGTGAGTATGCTTTGATATGTGGTGGTACGGGATGTTATATGACGATTGGAACGACGGCTGTACGAGTAGGTAGGCAGTGTTGTTTATTGTATCTCGTTGGAGGTTTTGCGCTGGTTGCGTACGACCAATCCTTCGGGGCTGATAAGGTTGCTTCACAATGCATATGTTTGGGAAGGGGATCAGAGAGTAAGAGGGAAAAAGAAAGGAAAGGAAAGGAAAGAAAAAAAGGAAAGGGAAGGGGAAAGGGAAAGGAGATATAAATCTTGAATAGCTGATAATATTTAATTGGGCTATATGGTATTTGTGGACTGTTGGATATGGAAAATGGAAAATTGAGAAAGGGAAAGGGAAATTGTGTGGTGGTGGTGGTGGAGGTGTATGGTGAGTGGTAATAAGTGGTAAGTGGTAATAAGTGGTAAGTGGTAATTAAGTGGTGAGTGGTAATAAGTGGTAAGTGGTAATAAGTGGTAAGTGGTAATAATAAGTGGTAAGTGATGTGTGTATGAGAAGAGGAATAATATAAAAGAGTGACACTACCAGCATAGTTCCGTACCAATACCTACCTAGGTACTCACTAACTAATCTTAGGTCAGTAGTAGGTAATCATAGTAATCATAAGGAACTAATCAAGCAGATTGAAGTCAGCCGAACATTACGATCTCCCATCTATAATTTTGGTCTGATCATCACACAGCAAGCAGAGCAGGACAGGACATAATAATAATACCACGTAACCTGGATGCCATTAATGTTGAAAGCATATCTAGTACCTACTGTTATAATTAGTACCTACTAGGTAGTAATATCATCGTACTTTTCCCTCGATGTTGTAATTACCTGGCTAATTTAGTAATTTCACTCGTTATCATAAAAAGTCATAAACAAATTACAATACCTACCTACTCCGTACACAATACTATGGTGCAATACCTACCTGGGTCATCAGTATCAAATTAATTAGGTAACATGCTATTAATACTTGAAACGAAACATAAAACATCCATATAATTATTGCATTCTCCATTAATTTTCAATCATGATTATGGCTAAGGAAATTAATTGGGGACCGAATCTGCTATTGAAAGATGAAACACTTCACTGCTTAATCATGGAAATTGTCTAGTATCTATCTTCTAATGCTGCCTTCTGTATCGTGTCGTCAGGAAGGTGCGTACAGGTACCTTCTACCCAACATTACCGGTAATCTCGTCGTATGCGGGGGTGTTGTGAGTGAAAAGGTAGGTATTTATTGTATGAACTACCTAGTACTTCGTATTGTATGCACTCGCGATATATAACTTGAGCTCTTTCGCTGTTAAAAATACCTTTTATCCATCTAGCATCTATCTTACATTATATTTCTTTTACCTGATATATCCATCCATCTTACGACTTTTTCTTGTCCGCAAATTTCCCCAGAACCATTGCCTCAATCAATATCACTATCATCGTCGTCATTAGTAGACTGCTCCACCTTGTCTACCCCCTTCTCCCTTCCCACTTCCCCATTCTTCTCTCTCAAATGTTTTTCAGCAACGTCTTTGGGGAGCTGATCGAACGGTTTGCCTCCTTCAACACCCGCCTTCAGGTTCCCATTCTCATCCACGTCTTCTTTCAGATAAAGCGTAAAAAGAACCACGAACAAGACTTCTCCAGTCTTGCGATTTTTCAATACATATCTGAGCGTATGTGAGCGCTTTTGCTCTTTCCTAATATCAAAAGAAAAACGTGGTTGGCATGACAGATCAAGAACTCGGCGCAATACAGATCATTAAGGAGGGGTTACTTTGTCAATGAGAAAGAAGGATGAATGAAAGAATAACGAACCGAAGACCTTGCCCATCCCAATATTTCATTATCGGCATTGTAAATCCTGGTAATTTGAGAGAGAAATCTACACATGACGATATAAAGTCAGTCTCAATTCTTTGTGTGGGAATACGATGGATATGTCAACTCTCAACTTACTGTTAAAATCTAGATATGCATTAAAGAAATCACACCCATAAGTTCTCCCCTCTTCCCAATCCCACTCTTTCCTATTGGCCTCCGTCAAGAAGTATTTCTTCCTCGCCGCCTCCCCATCCGGAATTCCACACTCCTCCCGGTGTTCCTCGCCCTCCTCATCCCCACCCTCCTCAAACACCAACCCCGCATTCTCTTCCTCCTCATCATCTCCCTCTCCTCCCTCCCCAACGTACAGCACATTGAATGAACTAGCCGCCGGCCCATACAAATATGGTTCGTCTGCATAAACATCTCCATCCAACCCTGGATCTACCATCCACTTTACGATTCTGAAAGCTGTGTTGAATCCCGGGGGCAGACGATCCCTAATTGGATGATCAAAATCGTTTCCAAAAACCAAATCATCCGCATTGATGTCCTTCTTTGGTTTGAATCGAAACCCGATACTATATTGATCTTTATTCTTATCATGCGGTGGTAGAGCAAAGTATGGAGAGGTGGTGGGCGAAGATTTGGGTAGTCCGCGATAATCCTAACGAGGCGGGGTTGATTAAATTTCAAGATGTTCTATTGATGATTTTGGAGCGCATAGCAGAGGGAAAAGAATTCACTTACTTGGATCCTGACATTCAAATCCACCTCGCAAAGTTCGTTCTCAATCCTGACTGTCTTTGCTTGATTGACCGGTACAATCTGATGTGTACTGACATCGTATTTTGAACCGGCTGTAACTTGTAAAATGTAATTTTCTGCCATATTTCCTCGAGTATGTCTGCGCTATTTATTTGCGCTTTATGTCAATGGAAAGGGATTTTTTTTCTCGTGATTGTTATTTGTAAGGGAATTCCTACATATACTACGAGTAGATATCGTCTCCAATGTTGAAATCTAGAGACTTGGGAGTCTCATTATTTAGGTCGCAATCAACGACAAGTAAAATATTTTGCCGGTGATTGTGGGGGTTGAAAGCGGTGACGTAGTGGCCTAAGCCACGGTGCATGTAACATGTGAATTTTGAGATTCACCCAAAACACTAGAAAAATGTACAAGAGTTCTTAGGGAGCGAAGTGAGCATTTCCTTTAAGAGTCATTGGTTGTAATAGATCAATAGACTTGATGAGAGGTCCGAAATAACTTCGAGATATAAGATAACGCCAAATATTAGAGCAATCATTAAATATTGTCATAAATCTTCATAAAGCGTGATAGCTATCTGCATATTAATTGTTTCCGATCCCCAGTCCTACTCTTTGGGACGAAGGTCCGCTCACGCTCGCACTTGTGCCTCTCTCGCGAAGTCTTCTGCCTTCCATCAAACCCCGGAGACCTCTCTTCTGTAGTCCAATAACTGCACTAATATCGCCCCTCCAAATTTCCCCTGCGCTTTCAACCCTGCCAGATTCTGATGCACTCATGCTTCCACTCAAGTCGCTCCCGCTGACATCACTCGCGGCGCTACTTGTCGCACTCATACTTTCTTCGTCGTCCTGTCTTCTTCCTCCTTGGCCAGTTCCAAGATTACCTACACTGGTATTGATTCGCAAAGATTGCTGCCCATGATATCCTAATTCGTTATCCAATCCAAGCTGCATTAAGGTCTCGGCTCCATTTGACAGTCTGTTGAGACTCCAGGGATCTGCTATATCTGATGGAGTTGAAGTAGAGCGACCACCTCCAGCAGCCATTGCACTAGCATTGAAAACTGCTGCAGCGTTCCTACTGTCCAACACACCATGCAATCGCTCCACCACAGCTTCCAGTAGCCCATCGATCTTGTATGGACGTGCTAATTGCAATAGACTACAGAGTATCTGTGGAGTGCAGAGTGTAGAATTGTTTGGTGGAAGAGACGATGTGTACAGGAAATGAAGTAGAGCTTGAAGTGTGAGCTGTGTATGAGGTAGGTAAAGTGTCCGTGGTCTAGAATTAGGTGGCAAAGCAGCCGAGTCGGGAGGAAGAGCCAAAGAGGCGGGATCCGATATGGAAGAGCTATTTAATGTTGATGAAGTAGAGAGATTTGAGGATTGTGCACCGAGACTAGGTGTGATAGTAACACTGCTATTCCTGCTTTGATTATGTCGAAATACACCTTCTGGACGCAGGGTGGCGGTGTCATTACCGTCTTGCGTTGCTGTGCCCTCGCGAAGTAGTTGAACGAAATATGGCCCCCATCTTCTTGCAATAATGCGAGAGTTGACTGGTATACGTTCGCCGCCAACACAAAGAATGTCCATGTCGGCTAACTCTCTAAGAGCCAAGGCACTTTGGCCTAATTCCTCTGCCGCTTTGGAAAGTGTGCGCCCACCTGCATTCCATCCCGCTTTGCTATTGATATTTAATGAAGGGTTTGCGAAAGGTGAACTGGCCGAGACAAAGCCCGACATTGGTGCCCCCTTCCGAGGATTGTCATACAAACCAAAAGCTTCGAGTTCAACCATGCAGACGTTCGAAAAATTTATGCGTCTGTGATTATAATCTTCCACAAGACTTCGTTTTCGATTGCCAAGTATAACAAATGTATTCCTTCGATTCCACAGAACACCACGATTCCAGCTTCCTTGACTGAAAACACTGCCGCCAGCATCAATGCGACTCCACGTAAGAGTCCGTAAGTCAAGAGCCCATAATGCATACTCCTGTTTAGAAGAAGTGAGATAAGTCCCGCTGACAACGAAATTGGTGTCTATAACGCCGCCGTTTGGAAATCGAAGCCCGGGAGGAGAAAATGACCCGTGCATAGGCTTTTCTGCCAAGGTTCCATCAGAAGCTCTAACTTGTAGCTCTAGCTTAACATCCAAAAAGTTGTAATTGGAATATATTAGCATTGATGACCCAGGTTCTCTTGAATCTGGAGTAGTGCCACCATGGTCTGGTTTATTAGGTGTAGCCTTGCCTATTTTCGCAGAGACATGACCTGGAAGAGGGGCCACGACACTACGATATGCCCCACAACTTTTTCCAAGCTGTTGAGTACTGGTCCACTTGAGACTCCGTAGATTAAAGACGCTAATTTGCTCGATATAGTGATTTGCACTGTCTTGACCACCCACAACAACCATTTCGGCACCGCCAGTACCATCTATATTCACCCCAATAATACCTTGATTAGGATTTGGCCCTTGAGGATTGTGATGTAAGGCAGAAGAAGGGGCATTCACAGATGCAAATGCTGCTGATGAAGGAAGAACAGTAGCGCAGTGAGCATATCTCCCCTGCGGTGTATCGTTCGTCGGTATAAAACTCCATGTTCTTGATGGCGCATCATATATATAAATGTCAGACATTACGACTACCTCCGGCTGGGAATCCTGCCCACTTTGCGCCGAGGCAGCCATTTGAGCCTGGCTCTGTGGTGGGGCTGGGGACATTCCTCCATAGCACACCAGTTTGGTATCGCCAAGCGCGCATACGCTGTGAAAGTATCTTGGCGGTGGTACATCTCCAGTAGTCTCAACCTTTGTCCAATGCCGCTGTATTAAATCAAGTTCATATAAGTCGGCTGTTAGGGAAGGGCGTGTTCGTGATAAAATCCGACCGCCAAATACGTAGAGCTTATCGCCCAAGATTGTAGTTGTAGCACCAACCAATGGGTGAGGTTCCTTTCCAGTAGTTCGATGTACGTTGCACATAAGCCCTGACAAATGCGTCGACGGTGTTGCTCCAGAAGTACCAGCTCCGCTTGCGACCGAAGGGCGAGGTTGTTGTGCTGGAGATGGTGCTGCCGACGGAGGCCCGTTGCTCTTTGGTGTCACAACATTTTCTCGATTCTCCTCTGCCCCTTCACCTCCATCTTGCCTGCCAGGAGTAGCAAGACTAGTTTGACTATTGTTCATATCCGTCTTGTATGTACTCGAGACCGACTTGAATCCACCGGATTGGGGTTGGAAAGCGCTCGTAGAATCCAACGTGCTGGCTTTATTACCGGTCGCAACTGGTCGTGACATACCCTCTAAAGCTTTTGGTGTGTCAGGGGGATCTCCTGTAGTATCTTCGATGATAGGGGATGTAGGTGTCGTGGGCAAGGTTGGGAGAGGCTTTTCGAGATTCGCACCGCTCAACTTCTTTTCATTCTGCGACAGCAAGAATTGGTCGGTACTTGCTGAGCGTGGATAGAGGTCTGGCGTAGAACTCTTGCTTGTGTGAATATTGAAAGGTCGACCACGGCTACCGGAAACAGATCCTAGCTTCTTGAGTCCTCTTCGCACACCCGTAAGAAAAGCGCCGTCAGTCTTCTCTGACTCCCCCCTGAAGTCTAAGCCCTCGTCGTCGGTCGAAGATTCGGAGACGTACAATGACTCTATTGAGTCTTTTGGTCGAAGGGTTAGCGGATCCGACATGTTGAATCATGCTGCGAAAGACAAAAAGCAATTCATCAACAGTCACAAAGAGATATCACCAACAACAGATGTCATTTTGACGTGCGTGTGGATATTGAAGCTTACCTTAGAAGTACCCAAAAAAACAACAAGGGCTTCCCCCCAAATTATACTCGGCCTTGTCGAGATCTCCCGATATGTAATCCAAGGGTCAGAAACTATTTCTCGTTTGGGGTGTAAGGACTCAGGAGAGGATAGGAGATCCACTCGCCGCACAGATTACACGAGAAGAATAACGGGGAAAATCGATCGTTCTTCCGCAGAACAGTTTGTAGAGTGTACGATGCAGGTAACCTGTAGCGACGGTTTGCCTGGAAGCCGGCAGTAATCGAATGATTGGCCCTTTTTCTTCTCGATGTAGTATTTCCGCCGAAATCTTAGGGGATTCTAGGTGCCTATTGTGTCAGATCGGATAGCAAGCCGAACTCAATAGTCTCACACACCTCGCACTTATCGGTACCAGAACTCTCTACACAAACGCGCCTTGTCCCAGCTAAAAAGCCAATTTTCCTAATCTCCGCCTTATTTGGAAAATTGATACCTCTCGAAGCGAGGAAAAAGGAATTTCTGCGGTTCCAGCCCACTTCCTAGCTCTTAGTATGCCGATCTCGAAGTGTTCGAATTTTGACAATATAAATCCCAGTTGCTTTCCCCCTTTAGATTTTTTCTTTGCGAGTGTTGATATTATTGATTGGAATCTACATGCACGGTTTGTTGTTCCTTTGTTGGGTTATCGATCTTCGAAACTGTAGAACAGCCTTGTAGTTGCTCGGACCCGTCAGAGCGTGAATATGATTGCTCAGAAGTACTCTTTGGGGGTAGGAATATAAGGTTCGTCCGATAGTGATAATGGTGCAGATTCCCACGTGCTGCTTGTTTCATGCACAGGAAATTAATCGCACATAGGAGGGTCTAAATGTTTCTAGAAATAATATAAAGTCCATATAAATCTGTATATGTAATTGGGTGTTTAGCAGATTGAAGTCTTGAAGAAAGTTAAAGAGGAGAAATATCAGCCCCATCTGCTTCAGATTGATTAGTGTCTACCAGGAAGATATCTGTACGAGACACGTAGGCAGGCTGGCTTGATAGGCCACCCGATGCGGGAGACCTATCTAGGTACGTACTCCGTGAGCAGACCGTTGAGAGTTGGGACGAGCAGGAAGTCACTTATCATGCTTATAGGTAGCATCTCACCTCGAACTTGCCTACTGATGATAATATAAGATTGATATATATAGAAGCACACGTTGGATCATCTCAATATGTTCGAAAATATATTTCGGAAGCAAATTAGACAAAACACCTACCTAGGTAATGGGATGTGAATCAATACTGACGATGATTCGTAAAAACAAAGTGCAAATCATGTATGCAAATCACTCAGACTGTGAGATAGTAATTAGGCTTTTGATATTTTTTTCTTTTTATTTGCTTGTTCTAATTTAGAATATCCTCCAAAAGACATCCAAAAAGGGAGACCTCATTGAGCCAATCGCCGATTTAATCATTATTTGTCATATCTGTCATTCGATCGAGAAAGCCCCTTCATCAATTCATAATTTCGCTTCGCGCGACACTTATTCTGCCGCAGATGTCTTCTCCTTTGGCAAAGGAGTGAATCGAAGATATGGCTTGACGGTGCGAAATTCTGGGAAGAGGGTTTTGGCCTCCTCATTCTTGACACCAGGGTGGACAATTACGTCATCACCTGGAACCCAGTTGATAGGAGTTGTGATGCGGTGCTTATCACCAGTTTGAAGAGAGTCAACAACACGGAGAACCTCGGCAGTGTTACGACCAGTGGAAGCTGGGTAAGAGAGAATGAGGCGGATTGTCTTCTTTGGGTCGATAATGAAAACAGATCGGATGGTGAATGCAATACCCTTAGAGTCAACGTTGGTGATATCTTGGTGGTCGAGCCTGGTTTCTTCATCAGCACATATTTCAAAGTCGTAGAGAAATGGTTGATCATGCTTACATATCATATGCATAGGCGACCTTTCGCTCCTTGTCACCAATGATTGGGAAGGTAAGCTTGCTCCCGGAGATCTCATCAATGTCCTTGATCCATCCACCATGCGATTCAATTGTGTTTGCAGAAAGACCAATGAGCTTCACGCCGCGCTTGGTGAATTCTGGTTCGAGTTTTGCGAAAGCACCGAGTTCAGTGGTGCAAACAGGTGTGTAGTCCTCAGGATGGGAGAACAAGACAACCCACTTGTCACCGATAAACTCATGGAAATCGATTGGGCCAGTAGTGGTCTCTGCCTTGAAGTTTGGGGCGATGGATCCTAAACGGAGGCTTTGTGCAATGTTAGTAGAGTCCAAGGTTGTATAATAGTAAAGTTGCACAATGCACGCGAGAAGGCCTTTGACACTTCTTAATTTTGGCATGCAACTTGTCGCCAAATGGATACAATCGTTACATTCATATCAATGAAGAATATATCCTTCATGGGGGATCGAGAGGTAAACTTACGGGGTTGGTCTCTCTTCAGCCATTTTGAATGTTTGTTGAGGGTTTGATGAGGTAGTATCGGGGTTGTTTGTACAATGTAGTTGGTATCAAAGTATAAGTAGAGATTGAGAGAAGGAAGGAAGAGGACGGAGGAGTTCGGGGGTTTATTAAGAAGGAATCTATTCACTTAGTCCGTTCAATTGAATGATGCCTTATTATTACTTAATCATTGATCAAAGTGTCGCCATCGTAAGAATTAGGAGGGGTAAAAGAGAAAATTGTAGCACGTAGCTATCACGCCATCGACCTTGTCTGAGCTTGACAAGCCTTCAAACCGGATGTGGTTTAGAGAGGGGTACATCCGGATTATCTGATAGGCTTATCACTTCTGTATCAGAACTCTAAGGAACGAGAAGAGTTTGGCTTTGTAACAATGTCAACATTACACTTCGCCCGTTTTGAGAATCAATAATGCTATCATTGTTCGAACAGAGAAAAAAGGTCCCAAGGAAGCGGGATCTGACGGGACGGGACAGACGCGAAAGATGGAGACGATCCAATCGCATCAGGACATCAGCACTCAGGCCAAAAGAAGCTCAAGGCGAAAAGAAGCTCAAGGCCAAAAGAAGCATAAAGTTTTTGTTTGTCTCTTTTCACTGATTATCGGTATATTAAGTGTGAGTGTGGAATGCTTGTAAGGCTGAGAACCGGAGACTGAGACCCCTCCCCCTCCTTCATTGTGCTCCATGCATGGTGCGAACACAACTTTGAGCCTCTGGTTGGCGGCATTACTGACATAATCCACTAAAAGAATCAAACGATGCGGTGAAGTCAAAGTCAAACTTTAAGTGAAGTATTGATTTACCTGAAGGGTGTTTATACCTCCCATACCTACCAACCACACCTACCCACCTAGGTCCCCGAAAGTACTAGGTATAATCTCATATTATGGAGTACTATGTTGGTACGATAGTTCTATGTATAAAACATTTAGCGGCTGGCAGTCTCTATGTGACAGTTGGAAAGTGTCGGCAATCATAGAATCTCCTTGTCATTCTGAAATTCTGACAATAATAATTTCTTCCTTTTTTCTCGTGGCAACTTTCCTATATTGTCCTGATCATATTCGAGACGATCAATGTCTGTCATCCAGAAGAAATTTATCTGGTCGTTCACCACTTCTTCACAAAAGAGCTGAGGTAACATTCAGTCAGCTATCTACAAATGGTTCGCATGACCATCGATCGCCGGAGAATATCCATCAGGAAAAGAGCAACGAAGATGGGATTCCAGTCATGGTTTACGATACATCTCTTTTATCGAATCGTGAGATACTTGATTGTCATTACCAATTGATTGGGTGGAGGCGCAACGATAGTGTCCATATTCTTCTTTTTCCCTTCAATTTTCAGCCATCTCATATATCAATCTATCACGTGAAGTAGGGTCCAAACGTGATATTGTCCGCAATTGACAGCCGAGACAGCCAAGTTCCCCATCTTGATTTTTTAATACTCCACTTCTCCGAAAGAGACCGATCCACCAGTCCGCCACACCTCCCTCTTTCATCATGACCAATCCACCAACCCACCATAAAATATACTTTCCGTTCGGGAATAACAACTCACATTGGAAAATTCGGTGTAAAATCCGCATCTCTGCAGCCAATTCTCGAACTAGAGACGGGTCATCTAACTCATCATGGCTTAATTCATTGAGATCCGCGGTAAACCCTTCGAAGGCTTGTTATAGCTTCAACGGGAACAGGTACCAGGGAGTATTGCTTTCATACATATCTCTATTCAATGCCGGCCATTGCTATTTTGTTCCCATTGAGTCATTGTTTTCTTTTCTCAGACTCTATCGCATTTATACTTTCCATCTAATGCTTAATCTTTATCGTCATCGAATCCCAATCTGAGTATATATTGGAGACATTCACTTGTCTCTATAGTCTGGAGCAACGAAGAATGGGCGAAGCAGAATTGAATATGTCATCTCGTGGTGATCCTAGCAGGCAAACCTCAGTATCTGACTCAACAACCGATTTCGAGGACGATGGCCAGAAAAGGCTCGAGTTCGCCGCCCAGCCTGCAGTGAATCCAGCAACGCAGAGCGCGCTTCATTCGTCAAGTCCAATCATTTATCATTATCTAACGTTCGAAACACTGATCCCTTCGCCTACGAGTAACGTTTCATCCGACGGTTCTTCGGCAACAGCACCACCACGGCCACAATTGAAGAAGTACACTTCACCGTTCGACTGGCCAGAAAGTCGCAAACGATTTACTGTCTTCCTTTCTTGTATGGCCACTATGCTCACAGCCTACACCGCGGGTGCATATTCGCCAGCTGTCAAGCAAATGTCCGAATACTGGCATGTTTCAGACATTGCGATTCTGGCTGGGATCACCACTTTCTGCTTTGGTTAGTTTTATTTTAGAGACTTCATTACAAGCATGCAGCTAATCTTACCACAAAAGGATTCGCTATCGCTCCGATGGCTCTGGCCCCATTTTCCGAGCTGAATGGTCGGAAGCCAATCTTCATAGCTTCCGGGCTGCTATTTTTTATCACCCAAATTTGCTGTGCCGTGACTCGATCTTATCCTGGCATGCTTGTTGCCAGATTCTTTGTTGGTTGCGGGAGTTCTGTGTTTTCAACAATGGTTGGTGGAGTGATTAGCGATATTCATCAGAAGGAGGGTCGAAACACATCCATGGTAAATAGATGGCTACTTTGAAAGTCGCGAAGAAAGTTGTTTCCAGCTAACCTGAATTTAGTCCTTATTCTCGGGGGCAGCACTTTTCGGCACTGGCTTTGGCCCATTAGTGAGCGGCTTTATTGCGCAGAACACATCATGGCGGTGGGTATTCTGGGTACAGGTTATCACAAATGGACTCCTGCTTATTGTGCGTATTTCGACTCAACTCCGAAATTAACCGAAGGAAATGCTAATGTGCGTCTCATGTAGGCCATAACACTTTTCTTTCCAGAAACGAGAGGTAGCATATTACTGAGCAGGAAAGCAAAATGTTTGAACAAGTGGTACGAAGAACGAGAGGAGGCTGGCTTCTTTGGTATTGATATGCCAACGTCGGCATCAGGTGAAAAATATGAGTCGCAGCGAATCAGATGGAAGGTCAAGTCAGACGAAGAAAGAGAATCGCTCCTGCAAATGATCAAAATTTCCGTCTACCGTCCATTTCATCTTCTATTCACAGAGTCGGTAGTATTCTTCTTCAGCTTATGGGTTGCCTTTGCTTGGGCAGTGCTCTATCTGACCTTGTAAGTATCGAGCTGGATCTCAAAAGTCTATTTTTTTTAATCTGCTAACACTGCATGCTCTTAGTGGCTCAGTTCCCCTAGTGTTTGAGACCTCCCACGGGTTTAATCTTCAACAATCCGGCGCTGTGTTTGCAGCTATGTCAATCGGAGCAACAATATCTACTTTCATTTCTATCTACCAAGAACAATGGCTCGTTGCGTGTCTCAAATGGTCGTCCAACAGCGCAAAAAGTCCAGGCATAATTCGAAGAAAAATCGATCTCTCGTCTCCCGAGGCAAGACTGTACTTTGCTTGTTTTCAATCGGCTTTGCTGCCTATTGGCCTTTTCTGGTTCGGCGTAAGTTATGTATCTTTCAGGTATTGTTCAATTGGCTCACAATGTTTCAGTGGACACAATTCTCTTCGATTCCTTGGATAGTCCCAACTCTTGCCATCGGCTGCGCAACTATGGGAATATACTCGATATATCTGGCAACTTTCAACTACCTCGCAGACACTTATCATCGATATGCGTCATCTGCTCTCGCAGCCCAGAGTTTCTGTCGGAACATTCTAGGCGGTATATTCCCTCTCATTGCAACTATCATGTTCAACAATATTACCTTTCAAGGAGCAGCATCTTTACTTGGTGGAATTGGAGCGCTACTGACCATCGTACCTTGGGTATTGACCATTTACGGACCGACCATTCGCTTAAGAAGCAAGTTCGCAAGCGAAATTATGTAGCTTTGCCCCAAACAAAACAGTTAATGCTGTTGGGTAGTCATGTCAGTGACGCTAAAAAGTTATTTGCTATTATTCTTTTCGAAAAAAAAGCCTTTCGAATTGACGATTTATGATACATGACCTTGGCCGAAGAGGCTATAAATTAATGGGATAATTGGATAAGTGCGCAACAACCGCTGAGGATATGCAAGGCCTCGAGATATAATGGAGATGTTGAGCATGTGGAAAAAATTGCAGTCACATGAAGAAGAATCTTCTGAGGGAAGAAACATTGGACAATAGAGGAGAGTAGAAAACACACACAAGATAATGAGATATGCTGTACATACATACACAGGGAGAGAATAGATGCAAATTGTATCTACCTTGTGAAACGACGTCTGAGAATTGACGCTGCAATGGTTAACATCAAAAGACAATTTTGGGCTCCAGTGAAACTTAATGTGCTTTATATCTAGACTTTACATATCCTTTGTTTAATCCTCCCAGCTGGTGCATGGCCCGGGGATACTTGAATTGACCCCTTTTTAGTAGCTTCTTGATGTTATTAACCCCATTTGTCCAAGAACAATAGTACTAGTTCAATGTCAAGCTTCAAGATTTACTAGCTTGTAATAAAATCAGAGACATTGGAGAATAATAATATATAAGCATTCTTCTCCGCAACCTGGGGATTTCCAAATTTGTGAAATTCAAGAGGTCCGACAACTAGCCGAAGTCGGCTCGAAGACAGTACTGACCTTGCTAGCGTTATCAGACCCTGATGGAGATCTTTGGCCAAGGATAACAATTTATTTATTAGGTATCTGCTACCAACTATCGGTCTGAATTGATCTGGAAAAACACAACATTTACCCCCAATCCGAATTGATTTTTACAAAATTGTTCATCAACTTCTGGATTTATAGAATAGGGATACCTAGGCACAACCTCAAAACTCTATCAAAGTCCAATACTCCATAATCAAAATGTTGCGCTGGTAGGTATTTCCTTATCTTTTATGCAACCGCTGATATCATAATTCTTTTTGTCTCAGATCTCTACGATCGATAGCTAACATTAACGTAACAGGTACCAAATGAAGTTGGCAGCTCGCCCTGTCCTTACTCAAAGTGTGACATCGGCAGTCCTCTTTGCAACTGGAGATGTATTGGCACAACAATTAGTTGAAAAGAAGGGTGTCAAAGACCATGAAATCGCCCGCACAGGTCGCATGGCACTTTACGGTGGTGGTATGTAGAAAAGAGCTCAAAACAACATCGGCACGAGATTTTAACAAAACCTTTCTAGCTATCTTTGGTCCGATCGCTACCAACTGGTTCAAATTCCTCCAAAACCATGTTGTTTTGAAGAACAAGAACCTCGAAATGGCAGCTCGAGTCGCAGCCGATCAATGTATCGTTGCCCCTCTCAACTTGGGCTTGTTCCTTACCACCATGTCCGTCCTCGAAGGAACCGATCCAAAGAAGAAGATCGAAGCCAACTACTCTACCGCCCTCCAAAAGAATTATATGATCTGGCCTGCTGTTCAAGCTGTCAACTTCAAACTTGTTCCCCTTGAGCACCGAGTCTTGGTTGTCAACATCGTCTCCTTGGGCTGGAACTGCTACCTCAGTTACTTGAACGGTCGCAGTACGGAAGTCACAGTTGAGAAAGTGGTAGAGAAGGTCAAAGAACTTTAGAAAATGTACATCATGGTCACAAATCGGGATTCGTTACACACTCTGGCCAATGGCGATTTGATGGATTTCACAAGATCTCGACTGGATAGACTTTTAAAAGTACTGCATCATATCATAGCGAGGCGTTTAGGATTGGCTTCAGTTGTATTACGAACATAGAAGTCTAGATCATATATAAAACAATGAATGCATTTGGGAAGGGGTCAATGATTTTCTAAATAATTTTTGTAAATGTGTTTGTTGATTGATCGGTGACGTATGTTGGATCCCGCTATCTGATATCTGATAGTGGAATACCTATTCTTCGACTTCCTCCCATTTGGACGCGAAATATATATTCATCCAGTCATTTATTGCTTCAAGTCTTCTGTAGGTCATCCTCTATTCATTCATCCGTTTACGTTGTTTTCAAATATCTCAAAAGTCCTTGATAAATTTCTGCATATCAACTTTTCAGGAATGGCCCAACCAAAATGACCGCCAATGCCCAAATGCCAGTGAATCACGTGATAGTTGTCTTACTAAGCATGAAGGGTTCCAGCCGAGCTTTTTCAAAACAGCAAGGGCCACCACCACCCACCACCTCTAATTGCAAGTCTAGTCTAGTCGCATCGCAACTTCAAAAAATTGAAGAAAGTGCTCACAGCCAAAGCAAATCCACCCTTACAATACTAAATCGGAAGAACTCCGATAATCTCAATACATATAAATTAGACAGTTTGCCTGGAGCAACAAGTCTATCAAATCAACAGAAAGTGAACCGAGCATAATCGTCTCAAGACTCTTCCATTATCCATTCACTCATCACCCCGCCACGGAAATAGAATTTCGAATTTCGACTAGCCTCGCATTCAATTCTGCAAGAGCACATCACATCAACTCTAGGAATCTTTTCAGCACTGACTTTATTCCAACTCAACTCTTCTTTCTCCTCCCCTTTACGATCCGTCAGACCCTCGATCCTACCACACATTCGAATATAATACAAACATGGCAGCCGTCGCAGCACAAGCACCAACCGGTGAACAAGTTGACTTGTCAACTATTCCAGTCTCACCTGAAGGAGCCAGCAATTCAAATGAGAACACCAAGCCAGCCACAGATGGTGAACAAATTACTGTTTTTCATGATAAGGATAACTTCAACGTCAAGCATCCTTTGATGAACAAATGGACTTTGTGGTTCACAAAGCCACCCAGTGGAAAGGTTGTTCTCCTACCATAAGGTCTTTTTAGGTCGACCATGCTGACTTTAAATGTAGGGTGATAACTGGAACGATCTCTTGAAAGAAGTCATCACCTTCAACTCTGTTGAGGAATTTTGGGGTGTCTACGTAAGTACAATGTTCTTAAGTGCTTTGTCTTTGTCTATCGTCTTTTGACTTTGCTAACTTTTTTTTTTCGCAGAACAATATCGCACCAACCTCGGAACTCGCTCTCAAATCCGATTATCATCTGTTCAAGGAAGGCGTTCGACCTGAATGGGAGGATCAGCAAAACAAGCACGGTGGAAAATGGTCATATCAATTCAAGGAAAAGCGCAATGTTCCTATTGATGAACTTTGGCTCCACGTCATGTTGGCAGCTATTGGAGAGACTCTCGAAGAAGAGGATGACGGAGAGGTGATGGGTGTTGTTGTCAACGTCAGAAAGGGATTCTACCGTGTTGGTGTCTGGACTCGCACAATCGGCAAGAGCATTCCTGGAGGTGGAGATGGCAATGGTGCTGGAGGAAAGGGAAGATCTGCCGAAAAGGGCAAAGAAGTTCTGATGAACATCGGCAAAAAGTTTAAGGAAGTCTTGAAGCTCCCAGCATCCGAGGCAGTTGAATTCTCTGGCCATACCGATAGTGCACACAGTGGAAGTACTCGTGCGAAGGCTAAGCATTCAGTCTAGACGCTTTCGACATGTACACGAGATGAGATACGATTCTCCTTTACCTGCGTTACGATTTCGTGGTTTTCTTTTCTATAAAGGTCCACGAAGTAGGCTAAGGCTAAATGGATGGCGGTTCAACAAAGGTTTCCGGTTTTTTCATGGCAGTATCTGCATGCAGCATTATTGAAGGCAACAAATACCTAAAATCGGCTTCTTAAAACTATGGGGGAGTAGTATTTGTGCCATATTGTTTTTATTGCTCTGCTATTACACTACCGCTTTTGGTGGTGGTTATTTTATGCATGGCGTTATTCTACACTGGGCAATCAATATAGGCTCAGATATCAGAGGTGTGTTCATCGAGATGCGCGAAGCATGAATTTAGCAAAATCAAAGTTACATATCAATGAAAACAATGAGCGTCACAGTGAATGCCAGGCAAGTATGTTGAGAAAGAATTTATGGTTATGTGTGTGCTTGTTTCTGTTTTTCATCTGAAGTTTGTGTAAGGAGCAATGAGTGTATGTTTGCTTATGCGGGCTTCTTCGTCTGAATCACACTTCTGGTTTCTGCTCGTATGGTTTTTGTTGTCCCGTTCCTCTCCTCTTTTCAGGAGGATTATGTTAGCTGCTTATCGATATATTTAGGTGATGTAATGTCTATAGTATGGATGCATCCTGTTAGAGGTTACAAATAGGGACAGTACAGATGATACATCTACCTTCTACTTGTAAATATGATTGATCCGCTACTACTTTCGCATCAATTGTTTTGCAAGCTAAAATGGTAAATCTCATCTACACCGAGGGCAAATCCCAAAGTGCTGTTCTATAGATGGGAACGGTAATGAATTGATTCGATGTTCTATATATAAGGGCTACTACACTACAACATATTTCGTATGTTTCTCCAGCCCTTCCATGTTACAATTTTACCTCTTACATTTCATCTCCACTAATATCATCTACAAAAACACTCTTCACAAGCACCTTCTTATTAATCTTCCCCATTGCATTCCTCGGGATACTCTCCACAACCCTCATCACCTGCGGAATCTTATATCCCGCCAATCGTTCCTTGAGCGCTCTTCTCATATCCAATGGTCCCCATTTCTTTCCCTCTAGAAATTCTTCATTCAATACTACTACTGCCCCGACCTTTTGGCCCCAATTTCCCGACGGCACGGCACAGACTGCACATTCTGATATTTGGGGAAGCGATAGCATTTCCCGTTCTACCTCAAGCGCGCTTACTTTTTCCCCTCCAGATTTAATAATGTCAGCTGATTTGCGACCGCGGATGAAATACATAGGACCTTTAGCCCATTCCTGGTTACTTTTCCCCGCGCTGTCAACATAGCGACGCACAGCCACATCGCCCGTTTTGAACCAGCGACCGCCGCCATCGGGATCATCGACGTGCTCTTTGAGTGTAGCTTCTGGGTTGCGCCAGTATTCTTTGAAGATCGTGGGACCGCGGAGCTGGATTTCTCCATCGCGCTCCTTGCCGTTGGAGTCGAGTTCTGAGCCGGGAGCAATCACTTCGTTGGTTTCGGTATCGACGAGTCGGACTTGCACGGTGGGGAGGGGCCAGCCTACGCTGCCGTCCACGCGGTCCGTGGGTGATAGACTACAGGAGAGGGCCATGCCGACTTCGGTCATACCGTAGCGTTCGAGAAGAATGTTGTTGGAGGAGAGGGTGGACCAAGCATTTTTGGTGGGTGTAGGAAGGGCGGCGCTGCCGGAGATGTTGAGGCGGAGGTTCGAGGGGGAGATAGCTTCTTTTGCTGCAGATTGGTGTTCGGGGGAGAGATCTTTGTGGGTTTTTAAAAGACGATTGTAGACTGTGGGGACGACCGTGAAGAACGTGACGGGTTCCTTGATTTGGGTATCCGGTAGGAAAGGGGCAGCGAAGCGTTGCCAGACGGCCGTGGCGTTGAATGGGAAGAGGAACTCGATCGTGGAACCGGTAAACAGGGGTGCAAGAATGGCATTTACAGTGCCGTGAATATGATGAAGAGGGAGGACATGAAGGAGATGGTCTCGAGGACTGTAGTTCCAAGCTTCGATCAGAGATTTTGATTGTGCTGTCAGGACCGATTGAGGAAGTAGAACTCCTTTCTGGTATCTGTAAGTGACTGTTCGAATCCTATACCAATGGGAAAGCTCACAGGTCTGTTGGTTGTGCCTGACGTATACAACATCATGCCTCCTTTACCCTCTGATGGCCCTTCCAACGTGACTTTGCCATAGTCTGAGCTCTCGAGCTTCTTCTCAAGTTTAACATGTTTTGGTTTGGATTCCAGATCAGTATTCATCACTTCTTGAGCCTTGCTCTCGAACTTGGTTGAAGACAATAACATTGAAGCCTCGCTTTGGTCCAAGATGTATTGTAATTCATGGGCAGGAAATGCCGGGGACAATGGAACAGCTATAGAGTGTGTACCAAAGATGGAGAGTAATGTCACTATATATATTATCTTAATCTATGCTCTTTCTGCGTATGGATATTTTGGGTTGCGCACCCACATAATCATAGCTATTTTCTACAAGGAAAGCAATTCTTTCTCCTTCTAATCCCTTTTGCCCAGCCTCGTTAGAGAGTTTGTCTCTTCTTTCTGCTACATCGTGTAATAATTGACCATATGTAAACCGTCTTCCAGAGGCTGAATGTATTACTGATGTAGATTTGGGGTCATGGCTTGAGATAGCTTCGAAGAGAGGTAATCTTGGGAGCGTGGATGCCATTCTTGCACTGAATAGAGTAGCGGGAGTTTTTGACAACGAACGGAGGAATGTTGAGGGGTTTCGTTGGAGAAGTGACGGTGATCTTCTGCTACAGAACATTGAGACGACGGGAAGGTGGAGAGGCATTGGTAAGGGTGGTTGATTGGATGGCAGATAAAACCAAATTACAAGGAGGCCTGTCGAGAGATGCTGCTAATCGTCCGAGGTCCGGAGTGGAGTTGATGCTGCTGGGGAACGTATTGATACCTAAGTAGTAGTATATCGGTCGAGATCGATTTGCTTTTAGGTAATCCTTATTGCATCTACCTTATGTTGAAAATATAATACAAATGCACTTTTTCTAGAGCCAACATCTTATGGATAGTCTATAAACGGTCTAGAGATCTAAACATTCTTGACCGAAGATGGACTTCGAGATTCTAGAATTGTGATTCGGGAAAGGCTACGGATGACGATGCGGGCCGATTCCTGGATAAAAGTCTAGCCTCAAAACTACAAGGCTCTTTCCTAATCCTTGCTATAGTTGGCGAGGCTGTCATGCAACACATAATTGTACCATACAATCAAAGAAATATTGGAACAGTTTGCGCGCCAATCAAACATTCGTCATTACCATCTTCTCAATCTATTGTGAAGCAATAGATTAATGCTTCGCGTTATTCGTCCCGCTGTCTCACGGCGCTATCTATCAACAATCATGGCATCTAATACTCCATATGAAGATATCATTCGCACTCGGGTGAGAATCCCTCTCCCCTCATTTCCAATTTATTTATTGTCTCCACTAACATATCGTTCTAGCTGACAGAAGAGTTGAAACCTACCCGTCTTGAAATATTCAATGATTCATCCAAACACTCACATCACCAAGCTATGGCTGGCTCAACGTCTCACGAGACCCATTTTCGAGTCGAGATCGTATCGGAAGCGTTCACCAAAAAGATGCAACCTGCAAGACATAGAATGGTGTATGCTTTACTGAAAGAGGAGATGGCAAAAGAAGGTGGCATTCACGCTTTACAGCTGAAGACGAGGACACCCGATGAAGAAGAACGGCAGAAGGCAAAGGAGGAGGGAGAGGACAAGGGAGCGGTTGTTGCTGAGGCAAGTGGACCTTAGTAGAGAGATTTGATGTTTTATCTGGTGATCGAGATGCTTCCTTCGAGACATCATTACAAAACAGCAGATTGGGAGGTCAAAGGAAACAGCTGTGAAGCTGTGTGTTTATGCTATTGCTTGGTTGTGGAGTTAAAGGCAGATTTGAACATACAGAGCGAACACATTGAGCGAAAGATTGCAGCGTTTCGTTTCATGAAAATCTAAGCATACACATTACCTAGACCATTTCAGTCGGCTCCTCGATGGCTAAATTCTCACTTTGGTCAAAGTTATTTGCGCTCAAAAACGAACATAGATTTTCCAAGATAATTAGTCTAAGATGAACGCTTTCTATATTTGCTTCATCGCTGCTCAACTGTAAACCAAGACCAAAGGGACAGGTGCTTGATTGAATCAAACAGGCAAGTCAACTGTCAAAACACCCAGCTGTTCCGCTAATGCGAGCAGTGGATTTACCACAGCTTCGACATCTCCGGTTTTGATCGGAATTCTATGATTGCCATCCCATTCAATTACTTGCGCACTGCCTTTCTCGCACCAAATTTTGAGCAATTCTTGGTGTAATTCCAATCCCGGGTCTTTGGAGCCATGAACATGAATAGTTGGCAAAGTCAAAACGTCATTCTCATCCACCGGTCCCCATCTATCCTGGTCTCTCTCCAAACTTATCAATGGTGGTCTTCCCGCCATCAAAACCGCAAATCTCCAGTTATGACCCTCCAAGTCCCTCCCTCCTTCTTCTCTGATCTGCCTCCTCAACAACAAGCTCCCAGCTATCTTCGCCCCCTGACTAAATCCCAACAATCCTACCCAGTCCCCGGTAGCTCCTTTAGCATCATCCTCTCTCATCGCTTTCTCAATACTCTCTTCGATAGCAATCACCTCATCACGTGTATCTATTACTTCATGTTCTGGTAACCAGCCCAGCCAGCGTTTAAAAGGTCCACAATCCCCATAGACACTCGTAACATCAGGCCCGGCACCGGATTCAAAAGGTGCTTCGGCAAATATGAGACGGAAATAAGGTTTCAAATGCAAAGAGAGGACGCGACATTGCATGGTGAAGATTCGAGCGTTTGTTCCCCCGCCGTGGAGACAGAGTAGCCGGGGTAGCTCAAGTGTGGGGTCGTGATGTGTAGCCATTATTGCTTGCGGATAGCGGAGTTTATGGTTTGGGAGATCAATGAGTATTGTGGAGAGTTTGGGATAAGATATGATTCCCGGATGAGAACGAGATATAAATGTGCAAGTTGTTGGGCTGATGACAGGTAAGATCAAGATATGCTAAATTTAGAACAGGTAGCCTTTTGTGCTACGTTCCTATTGGGCTTTGACAATCAGTCGATCGTATTTCAGAAATATATGGAAATTGGAGCTGATCCTTAAAATCCCATCAACGATGAATGCATACGAACAAGTTCTATACACCCGGAAAAGTCGTCAGGATTATGTTACGGATGTCCGTTTCAATAGAATTGAGGGGTTCGAAGGAGTGTTGGCGGGGAGGTGGGGTCTGATAAGGTAAGGGTCGAGGGGTCCAACACAGATCACTTTGCGGAGTTCCATTCCCGGAATAGTACCTCACTGATTTTATACCTTGAACCTTATCTGTTCAGACGTCCTAAGCAGACGTGTGCTATTTCGAAAGCAGAAGATGAGCTTTTGATGTCTTCAACATGAATCAATATGAACCGATGAACAAGAAAACTGGGCAGTTGGAAGCAATATTGCGTGGAGAAATTCTCTCGCCAGTGACCTCAGCAGTCTCGAGGCAGTGCGTTCAATAGTCCAAACTGCAGTTTGACAATCGAAAGCTCTCATTATCTGAAGAGATTCCCATCTACGAAATGCACGCAGTCTTTTGGATTATTTGGATACTCAATTTGGAGTAGTGGACCTTGAGAGCTTCTCATCATCGGATTGTAGGCCGGACGAGTTACTTAAAGGTCAAGGACCTTCTTGTACCTACAATGTCACCCAATCACTTGTAAACCACAGGATTAAGGCAATAGCGCGTGTATTTCTGTCGCTATCAAGTGATGGCTTTTTATCATACTTGCCTCCAATTACTGTTGCCAGAATACCTAACTCTCGAAGGCTTCCATCTACCCTTTGCCACAACTTTTGTATATCTTGATACTATGGAAAGCTCCATTCTCCCTACAAGCCTAGTGACATTTTGTCGATGAATTTTGTTGTTCATTTTAATCTAAAGAATTTACTTCTCCAATCTGAATTGTTTTTGGGGGTTGTTTCAACGGTGTGACTTTTCTTCAATCACATCTCTAACTTGGCCTACTGCCTAACTTTTCATCATCCGCCTGATCTTATCACATATATCAGGTTGATTGTAATAATCTCGGAACATTCATGTGACAAAGAAAATTGTGGCATTGTTCAGTGTTCAGTGTTCACAGACTGAGCCTTAGCCAAGTTTCTACAATTATCACTCGCTCTGATTCACATTGAAAACAATGACAAAACAACCCTGCTACATGAATATATATTCTCCAGGCTCATGTCATAATACTCAGCTCTAAGTCACAATAACATCAAAGCCTACAAAGTACACTCTAGTAAAAGCTTTATTCATAGTACCTACTACCAACCTACTAGCAACCTCTATCAACCCATTTTTAACTTCACCATGTGTACAGAACGCCAAGTTTATTATATCTGCGGAGACTTCACTCTCAGTATCGAGGGTTGCACTCGCCAGGAATTATTTAATTGTCGTCCAACTGATTGTCCTCGCTATCAAGTGGTAGTGGTGAATGAAACGAGAGTTTGCGTTGTTTGCTGGAGAGAGAGAAACACTGAAACTTCCATCGAGCCCGCGAGCTGAGGGCTCAAGTGGAGTTTGAAGAGTATCGTATGATTTCATCTGTAGATCAGATGAATATGGAGTTATTGAGCGAGACATAGTAGGTCTGGTACTTACTTTACTTGCTTTTCCATTGTAATAAAACATTTTAAAAAAAACATCAAGTTCAGTTCTTGTATGAATATCACGTAAAAATAAATGGATGTGAGATCGATATTCCCGTCAAAAGTCACAAAAATATAATTCAAGCTTGTCCTCTTCATTCTTGCCTCATCTATGCAAAGTGCGATAATTTTTCGTCTTCAAATCAAACTCATAACACCGTTCTCCTCGCGTCTACCGATAAAGATCGCGGGGCGTGAGGAGTGGCTCACAGCTTCACTTCCAGAATCAAATCCACAGCAAGTATCTATCATTGAAGGAAGAATGGATTGTCAAAGAAAGAAAGTGTCGTCAGAGATATCATTGTTAAACAGTGTTCCATGCAAGACAAAGCACAAGTTGTTTTTAAGACCATGAACAATGAGAATCTCAAAGCATCAGTGATGATTTAACACGCCTGTGATATATGTGAAGAGCTCGTCAGAACATATGTGTTTGTTGTCCACGATTCTACACCTCTGCACTCAGGTCTACTGTTTTGTATTATAACAGGGATATTTGGTTACCGTTTGATCGTATGAATGTGTTTCATTCTCGTGTCTAACTAGTTCCTTTGTTGGCGCCCTTTGTCCTAAGTATTGCATTGTGAAATTCTGATACGAATATCAGACCACGCATCTGTTCAAACGATTCCTCAACGCTCTTATTCAACTAATGTTATAAACTTTGTGATGTACTATGCTAATGTACGCAGGAAAACTCTGCTGGGGTGAGGAATCCCAATCCAAGTAGCACAGAGCGTCATGTTCGACTATATATACTGATTTTGAGTACCGTTCTACTTGCTGTATTAATCACGAAAAAAAAAATCTTTACCAAGAGTGAAATGAGAGACCAAAATCGCGGTAGAAGCTGTCAATCAGAGGCAACAAGATTCTAGTTCGGCATACTGAAAATGTTGCTATGAAGCTCGAACCCCTATGCTGTTGTGATTGAGACGATGACTGAGGAATAACTAAAGGAGCTATCGGGTTTGAATTGCTCACTCATTATCTTACAAGAATGTATGAATTCCGATGTTCAATATGGTTCAACATGCGAACATTCTTGTCATGAATAGGTATTTGACCGAAAAATCTCCATCATATGAAATAGCCCAACTTAGTAAGTTGATCACGATCTCACTATCCGAGAGAGAGAGCTTGGTATTATCAATCCGCCGAAGCTGGTGGAGGTTGGAAATGCATCTTGCACAAGATACACACGAGTAAAACCTCCCTCAAAGTATCAGCACCAATTGTCACTGAACTCTAGCTTAGGGACAGATATATTACTTATTGCTCTGAATATCTTGGTCCGTTGGATATTCTCGTTACTAATTTCACACTGTGATTTTGGGGTTGATTGAAACATGGCTTCCCTTTGGTTGATAGCAGAAGGGTCGATTTCGAACAAGAGCGAAAGATAAATGTAAGTACCTAAGGCACATAGATGGATAGAAATCATTTTGATAACTATTAAGGTGCTTTTATCGGCATTGGACTAGCATCACATGATCTAGCTAGCTACTCTACTGTAGCATCAGATTTCCTAGAGTCGCACCCAACATAGTCTAACATAATCTCAATTGGTGAGCGCGACACATCTAACCGCACCCATTTGACCTCCGCCCTCATTGATCAAGATTCTAGATTCTAGATTCTAGATTAGATAGTTGATATTGGGCACTAATTTGCCTCACCCGCGCTCCCAATTTAATGAGAGCTGTCACTGATTCCAACCCTTTTCATATTACACTACATCGGACCCCTTTCCCGTCCGTATGTCTTCATCCTCGCTTCCAATAGCAAACCCCACGTGGGGCGGACAAGAACACAAATGCCACCTATTCATGTTCTCGGCCTGTTCCGATTTCGGTCTGGCCCGGAATCCAAGGGACAAGATTATCGAATCGAGGCAGCACAACGAGCCGAATTCTTTAGACAACTGGTTTTTGTGTTCCTTGTTTTCGGAACCTTCAGCTACTCTGTCTGCGGCCCGAGATTTTCTTACACCCGAATGCCATATTCAAAATCCTCACGACTTCATGTTCCACGAATTCTGAGACAAAAAGCAATCAATCTAATCTATTTTTTACTGCCTTGGGTGTGCACGTTCGACAAGTATAAGCCTCAGTATACCTTGCACCGCCCTGAGCGCCCTCTTCCGCTTGTAAGGTTACTTCTATTGCATATCCGCCAATATCCGAGACTAAACTAATGCCGACATGGCATTTAGTATTGGATTTTGCAAATACCGTTCAAAGAAATTGGTGTGAGATTGTACAGACATGGGGAAATGTAATTCTCATGTCGTGATCCTGGGTAGCGAAAATCACACTCAAACAAGCTTAATTT